TTTCAAAATGTTTTCAATGTTTTAATTGTAAATACGTGTTTTTAAATTGTCAGCCGCCCAGAGTCATTGGCTGAGATGGGCAGCTATAGAAATCGAATCAAATCAATAAATTTGCTAGATAAACTTATACAACACACCCACATATTTTTATGGGTTTTTTTTTAATGCACCCTCCCACTTCCACCCCCCAAAAGGGAAAGCGCCAACAAGCCTTTAGGGCAGGACAATTAAATCATTATAATGGGATTAATTACAAGTCACCTCGCAGTATATTATAATAGATGGCGGGGCTTTGCTGCTTCCAACCCAGCAACGACGGGGAGGATGGGAACTGTAGTCTGACCAGAAGGGAAGGCAGGGTTTTTTTGGGGGGGGGGGGGGGGATAGTACCCCTCCCCCCAATGCATTTAATGGGGATGATGCAACCCTTATTTATTTTTAAAAGGTGCCCCCCCCCTTTCTGGCACGATCCGTTTCCAGCCTCTTGCGGCTCTTAGCTGGGGAAGGGGAGGGTTACTCTGTACATGCCCAGAGGTTCGCTTTCCTCCCCGTCCCCTCGCATGCTCCGGGGGTCTAGGGTCCACAAAGCATGCCAGGGCGCAGCCCTGCTCCCACCCACCCTCAAAGAGCATCGTCCGAGCCCCGCAGCCCCCTTACCAGCTCAGTGCCATCCAAGCGGGCGCCGCCATCGCCATCTTGGCCGTGGCCCGCCGCCACTTGCCTTGCGTGGCTACCGACCTGGCGGGGAGGCATCAGCAAGCACCGCCCACAGCTCGCAGCATGTCCAATCCACGGGTTGGACCTTACCTCGAGACAACGCCCGGGAAGCAAACTGTCCAATCAGAGGTGGAGAGGAAAGGATGCGTAGAGGGGAACTAGACGCCTACTTGCGTGAGGGCAAGCGCGGGGCGTTTCGAATGGGAAGCAAGCAACGTTGATTTTCCTTGCATGCACATCAATGAATGCGGGCTTGTACATTTAGGAATAAATTTGAATATTCAGCATTAGCACCTTGGAAACAGCAAGAATATAGGGTTTCCTGCTTGAGCAGGGGGTTGGATGACCTCCAAGGTCCCTTCCATCTCTATTACTCTGTTATTCTTTTTGATTGAGATTGCAATAACATCCTGCTAGAAGTGAGCTGGAGTTTGTCAACCTTGTCAGCTTTGAAATTGGGTGGACTTCAACTCCCAGAATTCCCCAGCCAGCAAAGCAAAGCAAAGCAAAGCAAAGCTGGCTGGGGGAATTCTGAGAGTTGAAGTCCACCCAATTTCAAAGCTGACAAGGTTGAGAAACACTGCCCAGGAATCGGTGCCCAGGATGAAACTCGCCTGATTCCTCCTTTACTCCTACCCAAAAGTGGTCTCTCACTTCACTGGGGGAACTCCCTGATGAGTGTAAATCAATTGTAAATAAAAGTGTGTAAATTGATACAGGAGATGCAGGCTCAGTTTTTCCTGCAGTTTTCCTAAGGACAACCCTGCAGTTCAGATTGGACTGAGGGTTATGTGGGCGAAAGTGGACCAGAACAGGGCTCTCAAGCATGTTTAGCTTGAGAACCTTGTGACCAAGAGGCAAAGTTTGAGGATTGGCTGTGTTTGAGTAGATTTTTGTCTGAAATAATAGAATGAGAGAGTTGGGAGGGACCTCGGAGGTCAAATAATTGTCCAATCTCTTGAAAAGTTCCAGGGTTGAAGCACCCACAACTTCTGGAATCAAGCTTTTCCACTGGTTCATTGTCTTCCCTGTCAGGAAATTCCTCCTTAGTTCTAGGTTGCTTCTCTCCTTGATTAGTTTCCATCCTTTGCTTCTGCCTTCAGGTTCTTTGGAAAATAGGTTGACCCCCTCTTCTTTGGGGCAGCCCCTGAGATATTGGAACCCTGCTATCATGTCACCCCAAGTCCTTATTTTCATTAAACTAGTACCCAATTCCAGCAGCCATTCTTTATATGTTGGTATAGGGTTTTCTGCCTGCCCAGGGGGTTGGTTATTCTTTTCTTCTGCCCTTCATTTCTTGTGAACCCTCCATCAAGTTCTGGTGGTTGGGAAAACTCTGGATCAGAACCGCATTTCCATTTTTTAAATCACCATTCAACCCCAAAACCACTACACCCTCCTGTCAGTGGGACCTTTGCTTGAAACCCTTAGCAAAATCCAAGAAGGCACACAGGGGGGAAAAAACGAATGCGATGAAGGTTTCCATTAGAAGCTGAAGTTTTATTACAGGAGACCAGTACATAAAGCACATCTAAAATTGATGTGTTCAATGCACTTAATAAAGGTAATGTAATATTAAAGGTACAGGTTCTAAGTACAATATAACAACATTCATATTAGAATGAAAATCAGAGTATTTAAAAGACAACATTAAATCTCTTATTTTTACAATTGTATTTACAAAATGAGTCAAAATACTTTATTCGGGATCAGGATAAAACTGCTGCAACTACGCTGTCAGGTATAGGAGTGAATTCTAAAGAAAATCTGATTGCAGTGAAAACAATTAGGTCATAACAGGGAAAAGACCATTAGTATCATTTTATTACAATATTACTTTTAATATCCATCCCAATGGCTTATACTTTTTTATAACTAGAAAATGGACTTATATATACTGTACACAAAAGACTACACGTTTTTGCATGTCCAGTACAGATTCATGTCAATTTGTAGGTAGGTATTTACAGAAGACTGAGCATTTCTCTCAATGAGGTTGGTGATGTATATGTGCTTAATTTTCAGACCAATACATATTTATAATCAGCATTTATTATTTCTCAGACACTATGAGAAACATTACTTGCACAGACTTGTATAATTTATAAAACAATTAAGCCCAAACAGTGAGGGATTGGTAGAAAGGATGTGAAACATGGATTACACAAACAATAAGAGAAACTCTGGTTAAAAAGTGACTAGGATTGATAAGGGAGTGAACAGTAATAATGGACTTGCAACTTTAAAGAAGATTGTATGTTTAAAAAAAACACCTTGATTAACTGATTAATACGTACAGAGTAAATGTACGTAAGCTTATTAAAATGTAGCCGGGTGCACATAAATTTTGATTCCCCACCCCCCGAAAAACGATTGGTGTATTAAATCAAAAACAGAAGTAGTGCATGGAGCTGAGACTTTAATAGTCACTATCCTCTATTATCAAAAAGAGTGGTAAACAAACAGCTTCTTAAATTCCTCAAAAATGTTTGCTAAAGATTTTATAACCAGTCAATAGTCCATAAAAGAGTCATAATAAATATTTCAAAGTGTATTCCTCGCTTTAGATATTTGATATCCATTATTGCTAAAATAATACTGGTCCTAATTTTTTTTTAAGTGTCAATTTCATGTGGCGGTCAATTTCAGTGCCAACTTTTGTTCAGAATTAGACTGTGCCATGGAGAACTAGGTTTGCACTTTTTAGTTTGCACGTCTCTACACTTATAGATTGACAGTAAATGCACACTATTGAATGGATGAGTGATTGCCCAAGGACAAGAATGGAAGAATTGATCAGAATCTTTATAATATTTGTTCTTTTTTTCTTGGCATGTATTGATTTATCAGGCAATCATGCTTACAATGCCCTCCTATGCAGATCTATTCACAACTTACTTGTGTATAAGTAACTTCTTGAATAAATGAGGTGGTGAATCTGCAGTTGTTTCTCTGGGAGGAAATATGTATTGGTTCAGGGAAGAGCTGCGCCCAATCAAACGTTTTTAAAGAAATTGGGAGTTGAAACAGGGAATTTAAGTCCACAAGTATTTATGTTGCCAAGGTTGGACACCCCTGCTTTAGTTTTTAATGATGTAATTGCAATTCCTACTTTTGCCCACCAGATTCTGGAATCAGAAGTTCACCTGGGTTTTTCCAGATAATATTTTCAAAATATGATGCCTAAAGTTGCCCTATAGATCGCCTGCTGATTCCAGGACTACCTAATTTATAGCATTAGAGCTTTGTAGATCTCCAGTAAAAAAAGAAATCTGTGTTCTTAGTCTTGCCTTGGGAACTAGCAGGACAAAATCCAGATCTTTTGGAGCAAAAACAAGAACCAAAAACAACAGCCCAAATGATGGTGAATCCCTGGTCTTGCAAGAACTTAATCAGGAGGGTAAAATGAGAGGATACACTATACTGGATATCAAATATCATAGCGAGGAGTTAATTTCCTCCTGATTAAATATACTAGAGACAACTTTATAGAATTATATATTTGAAGAGAAAACCATGACCCCAACTAATACTCTGATGCAGGTACTTCGTTGGGCACGTGGGCAGGCGTGTATAAGGTCTATACGCACCTACATACACACACACACACACACACACACATAAATATTCCATGAAATATTCGTACAAGATCAAGTGTGGTATTGCCTAGGAATAAAACAGAGGAAAGGATTGTTGTTCGTCAAATTAACTTTGCTAGCACCACACATCCGAAGAACACAAAAGAACAGACGCTAGTCCTAAACATCTATTTCTAAAATAGAGTATATAGTAAAACAGATATTATACAGCATAATGTGGTATTTGATAAACAGATAAATATTTGCACCGCATAGGCTTTCCTTTTTTAAATAGTATATCTTTATCTATAGAGAATGAACGCAAAGTAGTTATAACCGTACAGGAGGTGAGCAGAACCACACGGAACAGTTAAATATGACTCAGAAGCTGAGACACAAAGAATGACATAACAAACCGAGCTAGAGAAAATGTATACAGGCCATTACAAGTCCTTAAATTAGTAGTAAAATAAGGAGTTGGTTGATCAAGTTTAAGAAAGCAGTAAACAAGAGATTTTGCATTTACATGCAGATGTCCACAATGGTATGTCTTTAAATCTATGCACAAAAATCATTGTTTTTATTGCTTGACATTCAGTTATGGCTAGAGTATTTTTTTAAAAACCTTTATTGTGTACTTTGGAAATAAGAATATTGTTAAAGGTGCCATAAAATGGATAGCACGGAAAACAATTTGCAAATAAACCACCTACCACTGCAATTCTTCTTACGTTTTTTTTTAAAAAGCCTTGTCTGGGGTTTGTTAAATATGTTAAATATATTCCAAGTGGGAAAAATACATCGTCGCTTGAAGCCTCCCATGGGCTCAAACATCCATACAAAAACGCATCTCCACGAAAAAAGGAGCAGGCAGACAAGACAATTTACACAGAGAGAAAGAAGCAGCCAGCTAACGTCCTATTCATCAAAAGAGGGACCACTGGAGGTGTTTTTTTTTGTCATTTTTTATACAAATTTTTTTTGTCGCATCAAAATAGAAAATTTTGGAATTAGGAAAATATATATATACAGTACCTCTGTGGTTTGTGAAATAAAATTCACGGTATTGCTTATGAATTTTCTGCATTTCGAGAGGATAACACGATTGTAGGGTCCTGTGCATTTATGCATCTCCAGTAAATGAGGGGTAAAGCCAAGGAGGGGTGAAAGAAGGAGATACTCTGAATTTCAAAGATAACTTTTAAGTTATCTTCTAAGAGTAACTAAATATGTACCATAGCGATAGACTCTAAAATCTGAATGTAAATAACAATTCCTCACTTGAAGATTCAAAATGCACAGGAGTTGAGGATTTCATTTTTGGATTCAGTTGGTTTATTGCTCTGAAGAGTTAGGATTACGCCCTGCTACCCATAAAAATCCAATCGGTGGATTTATTTATTGACATAAAGTGATGATAGGTTACGGCTCATTTTATTTCTAGAGCTTCTCGTATCTAATTTTATTAAAACAACTGTAGGACTAAGCTAATGCCCACATATAAACGTGATATGCCCTTATTCCTCTGAGTTTGCATTAGAGTGGGTGATGACAAGACAAACAAGAGTAAAATGAAGGATGAAAATGAATAATGTCCCAATAACTTTTGAGGATATAGTCATGCAGATGTTGCAGGTTTTTAAGCAGAGCCTGGGCAACCATTTGTATGAAATGGCATAGGTTTCCTGCCTGAGCAGAAAGTTGGATAGAAGATCTCCAAGGAACCTTCCAACTCGGTTATTCTATTCTGTTCTATATCTTCAAAAGTTATTGGGACATCATTCATTAATAAACAATTAACTGATTGATGGTGCAGGACTTGGAATGGTTTCCTTAATACTTATTTTTAAAAAACCCCAACCATCCAGAATTATATAATGAATTTTAAATTGGTCACAATATTACTCGTAAATTATGATGGTTGAAAATGGATTTGAATCAAAGGATACTCTAATCGAACCTGGGAAAATTCTGACTTTGGCTGCCCAATAATTTAACATGCTTTTATTGCCAAACATACAGGTGAGGTTGTATTTATGCTTGTTTTTCTGAAAATGATAAACAGAAATTATCTGAAAAAAACCTCTAACAACTCCTAAGTGGGTAACACCGAGAGCTCTGCTCCGTGTTTTGTGCTAACTCAGTAAGGTCATAGATGTATCTAAGTGTTTCTCAACCTCAGCCACTTTGAAGATGGGCGGACTTCAACTCCCAGGATTCCCCGGTCAAATTCTGGGAGCTGAACTCCACAAGTGTGAACCTTGCCAAGGGTGAGGAATACCATCTAAGGCAATTGGGGAACTTGGATCAAAGTGCATGAGATGGCTGTGGGATCTGCAGCTCCATCCTCATTGATCGAGTAACCCATCACATTGCTAGGTTTCCCGGAACTGACCTCTGACCTCCATATTCATTGCCCCTTGGCCCTCTCTTTGACCTTCGTGGATCACAGAAACCCCTTCTAATCGTTGACCCCTTTGGATGAAACCTGTGTCCCTGGCATTCCCAAGACCTGTGCATATAGTTAAAAAGTCAATCCTTAAGAAAGTATGCAGTCTAATGTGATTGGATCGGTTGACCAATTGGGGGGGGGGGGGACCGACCATAATTGGTAGGATGGGTGTGATCGGATTCAGAGGAATCCAGTCACGTATTTGAGATGCGATTCACTTTTCTTTGGCCTGTTCAATAAATTCCTAATTCTTTTCCTCTATAGAACTCCTCCTGTTAAGAAACATGGGGAAAAGGCAAATAATGCATGTCTCAAGCGAACTTCTCATTTCTGTTTCAGCCTCCCTCCTTCAAAAGTTTTGGCACACAACTGGCACTGGATGAGCGGCTGCACAGTTAATGACAATTATGGAATTACTTAGAGGGTCAGGGCTACAGGCTGTTTAAAATCATGTAAGCGGTCTTTTCAATTAAATGAAAAACTCACCCCTCGCTGCTGAGCAGCGTATTTCTCTAAATACAGGGGCTTCTCAGCTTCAGCAAATGTCAGAGGTGTGGAGTTCAACTCCCAGAATTCCCCAGCCAGCACACCTGGGATGTCTGAGAATTGAAGTCTACCATTTGTAATGTTGCTGAGGTTGAGAAAAACTGCTCACATATCATTGGGGGATTTTTTAAAAAGTTGTAATAATCTATTTAAGTAAATAAGTCAGAGGTGTCTGCAGGGAAGGAATTAAGACTCAATCATGGCAACTACAACCATCTTATCATTTTCACCTCCTCCCAGCAGACAGTATAATTAATTATTTCAGTATAATAAAGACTGCTTTTTCCTTTATGTTTAATGCTGCTGAACACTGCCAGACTCTGCAGGTTGCACCAGATGGCAAATCTGGAACAATAAATAAGTTAAAAATTTAAACCAAGTTGCACAAAAGGTGGGTTTTGCATAAGATTACAGGATGAAATTGTATTTGGCACCTAAAGAAATCTTCCGGATTGGTGATCTCTCCAATCCTCTACTCATCCCTTGTCAAAAAAAAATTTTAAATGTAGGGGAAAGTGGCCTTGGAAAATCTTGCCACGTTCCCCCAGAGTTTTTTTACTTGGGAAAAGCACAAAATAGTATCTGGAAATATTCAGGATTCAATGATTTTGTTGTTGTTAAAAAAAGATATTGTTTGACATGCATTATGGGTCAGTGTTAACTTATTTCCCCAACACATACTGTAAGCCAGGGGTGTCCAACCTTGGCCACTTTAAGACTTGTGGACTTCAACTCCCAGAATTTCCCAGCCAGCCATGAATAGGGAATTCTGGGAGTTGAAATACACAGGTCTTAAAGTGGCCAAGATTGGACACTCTTGCTGTAAACCCTCTCCTGTTGGTTTAGTTTGAATCTTTAACAGGGTTAAGTAGCCGAAATTTGAGAATCCAAACAAGTGACATTCCATGGGGACAAAGGTCTGTCCAGATTAGTTGCTCAATGTAAGAAGAGCCCCCACGTTTCTCAAAAGAGTTTTGACCCATAACTCTGGTCTCCCTGTTGAAGAGTTTGAAAGGTCCCTGAGCTTTAACAAAAACTTCTAAATTCTTGGGCATCTATTACCGATCACAAGATGGATTGTCATTCACAGTTAAGTCAATCATAAGGTGCTTATATACCCTTTTTTCTTTTTTTCCAATTCGCACAAAGAATGGTCAGGAATTGTTGTGGTGAATGGCAGGGCCGGAACGAGAGAAGATTCAGGGTTTTGGCAGTGGCGTTAGGATTATTATCTGGCTGCCCCTTGACAACAGGTGATTCAATCGACATTCCTTAGCAAAAGAAAAAAACATCCCTCAGCCCCCACCCCACCCCAAACGACCACAAAAAACGACAACGTAAAACCCTGTATAACAAATATGTAATTTTCCCTGAGTAAAACCCACAAGTGCTCTACGCGTCCATATTGCACTAGAGAGAAATGAACGACATGTGCAAAAAAAAGCAACGAAGACGGAAGCTCACGAATACACGGATTATTTTGTGATGGCCTCACGCTTTATGGAATGTCGGAAACACAAAATCACTTCCTTCCTTTCACCTACGACGTAACGAAAAAAAAGACCCACCACCCACACGCCTCTGCTATGGCACATCCAATGAGATCAAATGCTTTTCCCAAAGACAAGTAGACAAATTCCATCCACAAAAATAATACAAAGTTGGTTTGTTTTTTGTTTTTCTTTTTTAGAAAAATTACATTGCTTTCTTTCATTTTTTTTTTCACATTACAAAATCTTTTTTGTTTGTTTCTACCTTTACACAAATCACATTTTATTGCAGGAATATTTCAAGTGCCACCAAATATTTATAGAAGGGTTAAAAAAATAGAAGTCTCTCTAAGTGGTCCAGACAAGGCTTTATATAGAATATTTTTTCCACCTTCTATTTTTTGACTTACATATCTTCAACACATTTTCTTTATTCCATGGACACTTAATGGCCTAACAACAACCACGCACACCTACACCCCACATGTTCAAGAGTACACACACATTCAGACCTTGATAACCTCATGATAATGAAAAGCTCCCTAAAAAGACAACCAGATTTGAAAGAATGTCACCTATCATGTCAGTTCATAATTTTAAACAATATAAATACGACAGACAGAACTGTGCCATCAAGGTCCAGGACCACCGGCATTCTTTTAAATTGGTGCAATAGGTCCACCCAAAAAGAGGATGGGAGGATGAAAACCCAAATTAATTTTAACTGCCAGTTCACTTGGAGTTCACCTGCAGGTATATCGTGAAGCCTTGATATGCTCCCACCACAGAGCATGCTACACTTTATATAGCTGAATCCCACCTGGAGTTTGTTATATCCAACAAGTATATTAGGCTACCAATGTTAAAGCTTATTCCTGGATTTTTTGTTTTTGCTGATGGGTTTCCCCTCTGATCTGATATTCAAAGCAGATACCGCTGATTACGGACTCTCTCGGCATCTTTCATAAGAGGTGGTCAGCACCGTTTTATCGTTATCAAAATGTAATTTGCAATTAACTAAAAGGAGATGATCAGAACAGAGCAAGCCATGGTATTCCCTGCGGTCCTTCCCTAGAGAAACAGGGAAGGAAGAGGGTTGATGATTTTGAACTTTGGGGCTGAGTAAGACTCCCGAGAAGAGCATCAACATCTTAAGAAATGTTTTTTTTTTTTTTAAAAAAATGGATCATCCAACAAGTCAATCCAGGATTCTCACTCATGGCACAAACGACCAAGTTCAAATTATCCTGTTTTGGACACTTTGTTTGAAGACTTAACTCCCTGGAAAAAGTTCTTGTACTGGGAAGGTGGGAAGGAAAGAGAAGAAGAGGATGATCAGCAGAAGGTGGTGGGATTCAGTTAAGTGGTGATGGGGATGCTGCTGGAAGACCCCAGGGACCAAGCGAAGGACGGAAGGTCATGGTTGCTAACAATCAACAACTGGTGGCATATAATCAATCAACCAATTTAAGGACGCAAAGTCCTATAGTGCTGGGAAAGACAGAAGAAAAGAGAATAGGATGACCACCCTCCAGCCACAATGTTGTAACTCGGGTTGAAAGACCTGAAGGACCAGATGCAGAAAATCTATCTAGAAAGTCACTAGGTGTCGACACAGACATGATGGCACTTGATCAATCACCTGCCACAAGGAAGACAATGCTCCCTGTCAGAACCCTGGAAATTTACAAGCAACCAGAAGCTCCTACTATTAGCACTTAAATGTAAAAAATGAGCCATAAATAATGCTGATTTCCAAACCAAAACTCATTGTTTTTCTTTCATAAACATGACAGAACATGAACAAACTCTGATATGGTTTCTGTACACACATGATCCTACAGAATGCTTGATGATGAAGCAAAGGATGAAAATATTCTTCTCAAAAGTTTTAGCTGCCTAGTAAAATGGTCTCTAGGTCAAGGATAAAGAGTTCGAGACAAGAAGACACATCCCTACATACTCTTTATATTCAGATCATTGGGATGCCAAAGCTTGTTATTCTTTTAACTTAGTTTTTAAAGAAGAGTAGCTAGCAAGTCTGGCTGACATTACTAGTGTCCGTGAATAAACATCTCAATCCACTTCCATTCTTGATGGATTTTTTACAACTAAAAAGACAACTGGAATCAGAATTGAAAATGACTCTCAGAACAATTACAGTTCATTAATGGTCAATAAATTAAAAATACCTAAGCTGCTCTGATAAACGTTTTCACTGCTAATACAGATTGTACTTCAAGATGCAGAGAAGTGAAATACACAAGAATGAAAGACTATGCAATTGGTTTATTTAAATATGGGTGATACAACAACTCAACCCAAGAGCCTTAGGTAAGTCTTATGTGGCAGGAGATCCCGCTGAACTCAACGGGAGATCAAAGGGCATAGGATTACAGCCTTGGTCACTGGCTCTAAACACAACGTTAAAGACCAGGAATCCAACTGGAACTTCTGGTCATTTTGAGGGAACTTTCTCCAAGATTTCAAAGTGGTCCAATGAGCAAATGGAATGTCAACAGGAGAAGTGGAGTCCAACTTGTGTCACCACTTTTGGATCAGATTTTGCATTTCAATAGGTGGCTTTCATTGGCCATGATATAAATAATTCTTAATATAGAGCTTCTTGCTCATGATTCCAGGTGCGGGTGGCTAAAGTGTAGCATGTGGTAGGTAGAGCATGAATTCAGATTGCTTTAGATTTCAAAAGGTGGAGTGACCAAGAAATCAAGATGGCAACTGCTGGATCCAAGCTCCCGAAGTGTTCGACCACCTCCCGTGGCAGCTTCTGTTTGGAACAGATTGTAAAGCAAGGGGGCAAGTAGCACCTCTTGGTTTACAAAGGAAGTAGCAACACGCAAGAGCAGGTTTTTTAAACAAGCCTCCAGCTGTGTCCCAATTCAGCGAATAGTCGGGTGTCTGTGCACTGAATACAAGATTTAAGTCCATGGACCCTATCCACGAGAAAAAAAAATGTATGTACCCTACCTGTCTTAATTTGTTGTATTTTTTCTCTCTCCAAACACACACACACACACACACATAATTACACAAACACACACAAAATGTAAACAAAAGTATTAGGACCAATATTTCCAAAACACAACTGTCTAAATTTGGTTGTCGGAATCCATATTTACTCACTCCAGGAAATGAGCTGATTTTGAAAAGGTGTTACTAAAAAACCAACACATTTGTTAAGTGATTAAACATAGCTTTTTTTTTTCCTTTTCAATCCCCATTGTCAGCAATCTGGTTTCAAAATAGGGATTCATTTATTTTTGCTTCTCCAATAAAATCATAGTTTTAAGACCCAGAAAACGCTTTAGAAACTTGACGTCCCTCCTCCCTCCCTCCCTCCCGCTCCTTCCACAAAGACCCTGGAAGGGCATCGCAGGACCAGGGCCTGCCTCTCCCTGCCAAAGGAAACGTGGGGAATAGCAGCACAACCTCCTTTGCAGTGTCCTCCTCTCCCTTCCAACCCTCCGTGAAAACTTGGATTTCTGGTGTACATGCAGCACAAACACTGAACACGCCAGCATATAATTTAAAAAGAAAAAAAAGGTGCAAAATGAAAGTGCCTTATCAATTCAACAATAAAAGCTATACCAGTTAACTACAATTTTTTTTTATATTAATTAAAACAATATATAAACAATATCATCTCTTTTTGCTATATATTGACTTCATGCCCATTTACCCTGTAATAGATTATAATGCTATTGCTATGGACTCTTTTCATGCCATCCCGCCCGGCGGCAATCGCGGTACGGTGAAAAGACATCGTCCTTCATGAAAGAATGAGCAAAAGTTGTGCAAAAACTGATGAAGCGATGCCTCCGCAGTGCACACCAGTCGCCGGAGTCGAGCTGGAGGTTCGGTGTCGGACCTTGTTCAGCGAGCGTCTCTGTGGGCAGTGAGTTACAAAGACAGAGGAGAGCCCTCCTTCTGTGTAAACAGAGGCCGAAGACGGAGAAGTCCAGGTGGGGGGGGGAGGGCCCCTCTGGGTGGGCATCGCAGCAACGGGGCCAAGGAGACAAGGAAGTCCGACCCTTGCTGCGTTCTCCCCCTCCTTCGCCTGGCGCCGGTGCCCGGAAGAGCTGCAGTGTGCTGGCTCCTGGCGTCTTAAGCAGGGCCACCAAAGTGTCTCAGTTGAATCTCTTTCTTCTCTCTTTCTGCTTGAATGTTTGTCCCCCCCCCAAGAGCTTCCAGGAGGCTTGAGAAGATCCCTTTACCCTTCCATCTGCACCGTTGGCTCAAATTCTGAAGTGAACAACTCCTTGTACAAGGGAGGAAAATGCAGTCGCACAATCTCTGGGTATATTGCTCTGAACGCCATGAGCTTTTCTGTATGTCGTCCACACAGGGCTCTTAAGGTAGACACTTTGCATATTAGCTGTGAGGGGAGAGGGGAAACAGATGGGGGGGTCAGTGAGGGGTTTGGCCATTATTTTCACGGGGGGGGGGGGGGGGTGTGGGCTGGAAGGGAGGACCCATAAAAACTTTTAAGCATCCTTAGAGAGGATGGGGTGAGGTAACTGTGGAAGGAGAACCTCAGGGGTTGAACCATCAAGGAGCTGTGTTGGTGCCACCAAGTCTTCCTCTCTTGGGTTTTCTACATTGCTGCTGTTCTGGAGGTAAAGACTCCTTCATTGTAAGCTGCCCAGAAATTGGTGTTAAGATGGGCTGCTTTGCCAATGCTTTAAATGAGTCAAATATTAAACAATTGTAAGTGCTGTAAGATACGGCTTCTCTAATTGTTTCCTCATCTTTCATTTATTCTACTTGCTCCCTTTTTCCATTTTAGGGCCTGTGAGGCAACAGGGGTTAGAAAAGCTGAGGGACAATGTGTGTGTGTGTGTGTGTCCTTCCCCTATAATCAAGTATTATCTTTCAGAAGCATTATGGGTTATAGGTGAGTATGGGACCCATAATGCTCATCTAGCAATAGTGGCCTTGCCTCGTTCTGGTAGCAATGTCAAACAAAAAAAGGATATAAAGGAAGTTGGATTCCTTCCAAGAGGAAGAATTATACTTGATACAATTTTAAGAATTACATTAAAATTGCTGCATAAATAATGCTCAATTTCTAAAGAGTTAAGTTGACACCCTGAGATCCAACGCCAGTTCAGCATCTACAGCAACTCCAGAAGAAGGAAAGACTTTATCTAATGTTCTCTAGAGCAATTCCTCATAATTTGTTCACCCTTATTATTCAGGCTTATTAGATAATCACTGTAATTTCCTCCACCACGTGTTAAACAAGCATCGCAGAATATTCCATAAAAGATGCTGTGAATTCAGTTGAAAGTTGGGCTGCTGGTCTAGCTAGTTAAATAAGGCTTTAAAGAGCAAAAGACCGCGGTAGATTCATTACCTTTGTTAATATTCCATCTTCCCGATGGTTTTTCTGCAGTACATGTTGAAGCGCAAACTGAATTTTTTGCTGGAGCTTTTCAATTTTTACCTTTTCCTGAAGCCATGATCGATCTAAAAGTAAAAAGAGAGAGAGCGTGTGGGGGACATTCATGTGGTTCTTTGCCAGTATAATTTGCAGAAATCATATTTATTGGGTTGAAGTGTCCGGGGAGCTCCACTACCATAAACAGGGCAATCCAGCTCCCCTGATAGTGCACCGATCTCAGATGACCTGCCACCTTCAATTCCTTGGCAGAAAGCAAGAGAGATTGAAGAGCAACAGATGGTTCTCCATCCTCTTCTTGTTTCTTTCTGGAAATGGCTTACCTTTTCCATGAAGTTTGGAGGATCAGGCAAAATAACACTAGCAACAGCATTTATATACCGCTTCACAGTGCTTTCCAGCCCTCTCTAAGCAGTTTACAGAATCAGCATTTTGCCCCCAACAATCCAGGTCCTCGGAAGGATGGAAGGCTGAGTCCACCTTGAGCCTGGTGAGATTCGATCTGCCAAATTGCAGGCAGCCAGCAGTCAGCAGAGCTATCTTGCAGGACTGCATTCTAACCACTGTGCTACCACAGCTCTTTAAATATTAGCTGTTGGACTTTAAAAGGCTTTCAAGTGTGAGAAGAGAGTTGCTGGGTCTACAAGTTTCAGGAAACCGCAAAAGAGTACATCTAGGCATGTCATTCCTCTCCTCAAACATCTACTTGACTTTCAGAAGCACCAAGCTAAGTGATGAAGTCAGGTTTTCGATAACAAAACCTGCAGACTGTTGGAAGTGAACTAAATATATTGTTCTGAAGGAAATATTTTGGCTCAGGGGCAGAAAATACTCGAGTGGAATTTCATACTCTCAGAATATCACCAAAAAGTTAATTTGAAAAAGCAAAATTACTTCCTCGGATTGATACTTTACCTGCAGATAGTAAAACGAAAGCTGAGAATAATGCAATCTCGTCTTCAGTAAGGTGCATAGAACATAAACTCTTTCCAAATTCGAAAACGAAACTAATGAAATCTTCACAGCCTGCAAAATAAAACAGTCAAATAGGGTCTTTTCCAAAGAATGCAACATAGGACTATATACTGTATATATTTGCATATATATATATATATATACATTTGCATTTAGTATACTAAAACTCTGCTTGGTATATTTTTCTAGCTTAAACCCTTAATTTTTTAATTTAAATGTCAGGGTACCATTGTATGATATTTAAGTCCCACGGAAGGCTAAAGAACAGGAATTAAATTGTGCCCCTGGGTATTTATGATTAATCCTTTGAGTTATTTCTATAAAATATATTTGTTTAGGATTAAAAAATAATTTTCAAAAAGCAGCACTTTTAGAAAGGATATTTAGAGTATGAACCCATTCTAACGAAGCATTTATTGCCTTACCTAATGATTTGAATACATCTGGGCCAGCGTATTTGCCATCAAAGTACACTGTGTTGTTCTGAGAGTCAAAGGCACGGCACATTCTGATAAACACAACCTCTAAAGACCCTAAACGAAATAGGAAAAGATTTTTCAGTGGCAATATTAGGTCTGTCTTAAAGAACTAATAGGCTTCAGGATGCTTTTAAAAGTGTGTCTTGTTCACCAAGGACGCCTTGTTATGGGCTGTAACTTCATTTTCAATTAACTAAAATACATTAAGTTTATGTATATGTTGTTTATTAAATCAATTTCATCTATTTGGTATACATATAAAACTAATGGAAAAAGAAAAAAAAGTATTTTCTTCACTTATTATTGAAGGATCATTCTAGTTTAGTATTTCTCAAACGTGGCAACTTGGAGAAGGGTGGATTTCAACTCCCAGAATTTCCCAGTCAGACTGGTGAACCCCATCCATCTTCAAGTTGAATTTTGGGACTTGAAGTCCACCCGTCTTCATTGCCACGGTTGAGGAATACTGCTTTAGACTATTAGATTTTTGGGTTTCTCTAAAAAGCTTTCAGCAACATGTCAAAAATAATTATTGCACTTTTACCGGAGCGATTCTAGGATTAACTGAAACAAATGTGGATTTCAACATCTGCCTTACTGTCACATAATTCCCTTCTCTGGATTCTTCTGTACCACCAGGAAGAAACACATGATTTCCTCAAAGGCTAAAGTTGCATCCTCCATGCAATCAATGACATGATGAACAAGGATTTTGGGAGATTGCAGGTGGTCTTAATTAAATTGAGCACCAATGTGCTCTTTGATAACGAATGGAGTTTCTACTTTTCATGTTTTATTTATCGTAAAGGGCTTATTCCTGTCATTTTTAAAAAATTTAACTGGGGGTTGTTGTTTTTCTTAGCAGCAATTACTCGTCCTCACGAACAGAGCAACGGAGAAACCCATGATTGACAATAATTGAGAGGAAAGTTTGTAGTTTTAGCTGTTGGAAAGACTGGATTCCCGTTGCAACCCACACTGCACAACCCTTCAACGCATTTCACAAAAGGCACAAACCTGCTTTTAAAAGCACAATTTGATCGTTTTGGCATAGTTCCATAAAGCCGTCGATGCGTTTGGCAAACTCTACGACATACTGTATTGCTTCTGTTATCTTCACCGCACATAACTGCCACATGACCTCCCTTTGCTGGGGAAGAAAAAGAAGAGCCAAGGACTTCACAATGCGTGCTAAACTTTTCCCAGGAAAGACTCCAAACGATCCAAATACATTCGGTTTTTAAGGAAATCAAAGCATCGGTTTGGACTCCAACAGCCCTACTGCTTGTTTCAGGTGTTCTGGTGACCAGGCCACCTTCCCCCCCCCCAATTTGCTAGTTTAATTACAATGCACTGATATATTTTTTTTCTTTGAAAACCCACGTGGCAAAGCGCTTGGAAAGGGGTGGCTGACAACTACGCAATCGGTCTTTCAAAGGACCAACCCCATTGGCTGAAAAAAAAACATACCTTGCTCTGGTAGTTCTCAATTTCCTCCTGCAGAAACGTTTGCCAGGTGATCTGCTGTAGCTCTTCCCTCAAGTACTGGCAGGTTTCCATGTGTGACTTAGAGATGTTCTGTGCAAGGTGTTCTGGAAAAGCAAAAAAGGTTTGCACGCATTAGCCAAGACACTGCACAGGTTTCTCAGTGCACCTCCTGACTAACTGGCCGGTGCTCATTAACCTACCGGAAGCTGAAATGAGCTTCTTAATGCCGTTGGCATCCTTTTTCACCCTGACTTCTAGTTCTGACAGTCACTGTGAGTGACAGATGATTGGCCCTGGATCCAAGCAATTCTGACTAAGGGGCTGTTTTGTCAGCTTTAAGATGTGGACTCTTCTCCTGATGGCTGGCTGGCTGGCTGAGGGAACCTGGCCTTTGTCTGAATGGCACCATTTCTGATCGCTTGATGAAGAGGAGAGATGGCTAAGTGACAGGTACAATAGAATAGAATAACAGAGTTGGGAGGGACCTTGGAGGTCTTCTAGTCCAACCCCCTGCCTAGGCAGGAAACCCTTCACCACTTCAGACAAATGGCTATCCAACATCTTTTTAAAAACTTCCAGTATTGCAGTATTTACAGCTTCTGGAGGCAAACTGTTCCACGGATTAATTGTTCTCCTTAGTTCTAAGTTGCTTCTCTCTCTGATGAGTTTCCACCCATGGCTTCTTGCCCTGCCCTCTGGTGCTTTGGAGAACAGCTTGACCCCCACTTCTTTGGGGCAGCCCCTGAGATGGGTAGGGAAGGAAATGAAAGCATCTGGACGCTGCTGCACTGTATTTTAATGCTGGTCAAAGCACCCAAGTCTTTTTGAAGGAGTGAACTAAGGAGCTGGTCTAATGAAGATCACCCATTCACTCTTTTATACTGGGGTGATTTTCCCCAACTGTGAATTATTATTCCGTATCACCTGCAAGAGAGAGGTTGTTATTTGCTACATTTATCCAAGAAGAGAAGGGTTTGTCACAGGCTGGTAAGCCTTTGCTTAAAAGTGGCCCTCGGCTACAATCAGGACCAGAATTTCCCTTATTAAACAAGGTGGTCATTAAATGAATCCCACCCAATTTCGCAACCTTTTTGCCATGATGGTTCAGTGAACCCCTGCAGTCGTTAAACGAACCCGGCTCCCCCCCACCTGACTTCGCTTGTCGGAAGCCGGATGGGAAGCTCACAAGTGTGTGACCACGTGATCCTGCCACCATCCTAAATACAACCACGCCCAAAGTTTGATCCCGTGGCCCTGGGGATGTCCCGGCGGTCATAACTGCAAGGACCGATTGCAAGTCTCTTCTTCAGTGCCACTCTCAACTCAGAACAATTGCTAAGCAAACGGCTGTAATTTGAGGACTGTCTTTCAATGTTGCACACACTTGTCCCTCACACAGATTTCACGTGGGGTGAATTTTCACCGCCAATTAAATACTCCTGTTGGCTGTGATTTGGTACACAGAGCCACGTCTTCCTTCTTTGGGCAAAGGGTCTCTTTTTACACACCAGGAGGCTATGCTGGTTTCACAAGCAAATTTTAACTGTACATAAGGCAGCCCCCAAATAATGTCTGATGAAGCAGCTCAGTTTCGCAAGCCATTAAATGTGGGAGTCCCAGAAATACTGTAACTGCCGTAATAACTAACTAAATAGTTTCTCTGTAGAAATAAATGAGAGTCATGCAAGAATACAACACTGTTAAGTCTGTATTCCATTTCGATAAGGCACATTTTTGAACCGTCTGCATTGCACGTCAGATCTTGAGTCAAGCTGCTCATCTGCTAGAGTATTAAACTTCCCTAGGGCCATTGGCCATCTTCACCAAAAACTTGCCTGTTGGATCATCATTGTTGCTTGGGAAGAGTCAGATCAGAGGTCCCCAAACTTGGCAACTTTAAGGCTTGTGGACTTCAACTTCCAAAATGGGAGTTGAAGTCCACAAAGTTGCCAAGTTTGGGGACCCCTGAGTTAGATGGTCAGCTCCCTTCCGGAAAACAACCAACACCGCTCTAACCCAACATCCACACAACATCCCCTTTCTTGAGACAGCCTTGAAGGCCAACCAAGGTGAAATAGCCAAGTTGAGGGTGTCCTTGCTGTTCTTTGAGCTTGGTGGCTTCCTTGCAGATGTTTCATGACCCAAACTGGGGAACATCATCATCAGTGCCAATCAAACAGCCAAACTATCAACCCACAAAGCCCAAGCTGGGATGGGGGGGGACTACCAAGCCACTCTTCCTGAGCCAAGTTGTATTCTAGGGCTGAGTTCTAGGCCCAGAGAGCCTCCTGGGAGGGCGGGGTGTTGCTTTCCATCAAAAGGCAACCAAGAGAGCGACTACGGGGCAGGTTCCCCTTCTTTGTTATTACCTAATTCTGCCATGGACACAGTAGGAGAGGTCTCCCCATTGGTAAAGGAGCAATATGGAAAGAAGCCCGTCGTGGGAGTGTAGTCACAGACTGGTTCTGGTTTGATGCCATTAATATCAAGGCCCGATTGGTCTGGAGAAGGTTGTATGTCTAAGTAGAAGCTGCTAACCGCAGAGTCGCCTTTGCTACCTTCAGGAGGGTGGCCATCTATGTAATTACTGAGGTCGTCGTGCAGGTCCGTCAGGCCGTTAGCCGTGATGCTGTAGCTCGGGGTCAGCGGCTCCGCTTCTCCGGGGGGCTGTTGGTGGTCTCGCTGCTGCTGCTGCATCCGATGCTTCTGGACCTCTGCATACAAGCTGTCCCTCTGTTTTTTGGACATGCGGCCAAACTTGACAGCTGGAAGAGAGTCCAAAGCAACAGATCTGGTCACCTTCTCTTACTCTCCACCCCAGAGGTCAGCTTTGGGGAGGCGGCTACATTCAAAGGCACATCCGCAAGATTCGAAAGGGCAAAAATCCAAAGGGCCATTTGATATGGTGGGGGGAGCTCACCCACTGGTCAGGCCTAAATTTCAGCTAGATAAAAAAGTACAAGTTGTTTAACTTGCCCAAGTGCCTAAATTTAGGATTCTCTGATGCAAAAAAAAAAAAAGTAGATTTTTTGCCCCCAACTCACAGCACTCTGCACTTCTGATGCCATTGAAAGACAAACATTTTAATCCCTGTTGGGATTCCCACCTGTCTGAACACTCAGATTTCAGAATACATCTGGGAAGAAAGGAAGGAAGGAAGGAAGGAAGGAAGGAAGGAAGGAAGGAAGGAAG